AACAACTCCGCACGAACTCTGCATCGAGCTTCTTAGGCTCTGTCTCCCTCGGGTAAAAAAAGAAACAACTTCCATACGAACAAAGGAAAGATTATACGAAACTTTCATCGTATAAATCAAACCTAAAATGGAAAAAAGTTTTCTACAACCATGAGCATACTTGGCGTATCAAGCTCGACAAACGCTACTTGGCCCTTGTCCGATCACACTTCACTTCAGTGCCAAGTTTACAAACCGACTCGACCTTATCGATAGCACGAAAGTGTCGTGGTCTAATCCTCTACCAAATATGACCTTGGATGTGCGGCTGGATACAACCTTCACGCCAAGCCAATACATTCAACAGATAATGCAAACTTGTCGAAAACCGGCTAAGTTCTGTATTCTCACGATTCACTCTATTTCCGAAGCAAGTTGCTCACAAAATCCGACGTGTAAGAAAACGCTCGTAACAAAACCCTTGAAGCCGTACGAATCTCGGAAGGTCAACACTTCACAAAGCACCGTAATGAAAAACGCTTCGTTTCAGGGAAACAACTTACACGACCTCTCGGTCCTAATTGCTTTAGCACAAATCATAAAACTACTTAACATCCAAGCAGGAACGTGAGTTTTGGTTACGAATATCCGCAATCAAACCAAAGTGTTTCTGCAAAGCAGGGTTAAGACAATACCCTCGCAACACCGCGCAACATCTTCGAGCCCGCAAGCGGTTTGAACACAAAACACGGCATACGAAATAAAAAACCAGTCTTCGGCATTGCAAGACGTCGCAGACGCCTGAAGAACAGTTTTTCGACATAAATACCTTCCTCGATAAAATCACTTTCTTGGAAGACCCAACAGTCCATCCGCGACTATAAAACATACAAAACTTCTTAACATACATATCCTTCGCGAAGGTCCAAACAACGCTAACATCTATCACCTAAAAGTTTGTTGCTGATCACAACAAACTCGCACCAGTCCTAAACAAACTTAAGTTATCTCGTAGAGATAGCTCTCGAACACCCGACACAAGGGTAATAGCGCTATTAAAGAAATCCAAACTCTTGGTCAGCACTTCCGGGCAACTTAGAAATTGTTCCCGGTGAGATGCTCAGTTCCAACCAGACAAATCGTATAAGCCGAGAACCTATCGCGGATTCTAAATCGGTATAGAATCAGGTTAAAATTGCAACGGGCAAAACGAAAGCCGACTAGTCATTGCATAGCCTCAATCCGAAAGTAAACCTAGGTCTTGCCCTAAACCCAGCACACTGGTCTCTAACGTCTCAAGGCATGAATCGAGATCCTAAAGGCATGTCTCTTCGTCTATATCTAAACGCTCACTCGATTTACTAAACATCCTAAAACGAGCAAACAAATAAGGCGATCCACAAAGGAAAAGAAATGCGAGACGACAACTCGCTGACCTCCCTCAATATCAACTCATATTCTTCCCTCTACATTCATACGAATTAAAACACGCTCTTAAAAATGCAAACTGATTTATAATAAAGCCGCAAAAGCGGCAGGGACTCAGAGCCGCACACGGCCAATCCGAAAACTATAACGGCCACACTCGGCCATAGAAAACAGCCCACGAGGCTAGTCTCAAGGCCGGCAAAGGTCCAATACACATAACCAGACCGTAAAGGTCTTGTTAGGAAACAGGTCATACGAACCTTAACTCCAAAACGAACTACGAAAGGCTTGATCCCTTCAATAGGGTACGTAGGCAGCCTTCACAAGGCGAAACACTAATCCTAAACGCTTTCCGCTCCCTGGAGAGTGAAGATCTCTTTCAACGGAACTTTCCAACCATTAATTCCGCCTAACTCACCTAAAACTGGCTAACCACTCGCAAGAACCTCACGTTAGATGCTCAAGGTTCTAGCGAGCTGGGGGGGCTAACTGTTGGTGGCAAAATCGTTCACGACAGAATCAGTGGCTAAAAGTTTCCGTAAAAAAAAAAGCGTTTTATAAAACTCGAGAAGTCGTCTTATAAAATTCTAAGAAGTTTCCAAACAAAGGAAATCCGCGGAAAACTTGAAAATCTTTATCTCGGAAGAACGAAACAAACGTCGATTACACGATCGCCCGAGTTAAGTACAAAACCGTGAAAAATTGCATCCGCCGCAAATCGCGAGCTGGTTCGGCCGAACTAGCTCGCCGTACGGCGAGCTAGGTGGGATTGAGCTAGCTCGCCGTACGGCGAGCTAGGTGGGATCGAGCTAGCTCGCCGTACGGTGAGCTAGTTCAACCAGACTAGCTCGTCGTACGGCGAGCTAGTCACATCACGGATAGCTCACCGTACGGCGAGCTAGTCGCTTCCCGGATAGCTTGCCGTACGTCGAGCTGAACCGATCCGGTTTGGCTCGTCGTACGTCGAGCTGACCATCCCGAGCCTCGATCTCCCACGTCCTCGATTCAAGGCATATGTCCTTCGGCTCAATCATGTTCCGAACCACGGTCGAAATGTCTCTCGTTTCGTCTCGATCCGTCCTATCGTTCGAGTTTTACGATACAAACTGTAAAGTCTTGTTTTCTCAAAAGAACTCGAGGAAATCGTGTAAAACGGCAACGGTTAAACAAAACACCGAACATTTCCTAAACTATACGATTTACTCGAGATTTTTTTGTGAGAAATCGTAAAAAACGCGTTTTTAACAAAACTTCGAGTGAATCGTAGAAAACGGCAACGATTGACCGAAACATCGAACATTGCCAAACTTTACGATTAACTCGAGAAACTTATTTAAAAACGGGGTTGCATCAGGAAACGATCTCGTATAAAGTCGTAAAATGGTTTTGTCGCAAAACGGTCCGGAAAGTCCTAGAACGCGATAAAAGCCTATCTTGCGACTTTAACAAAATCTAACCCGAAGATACAACGACGTTTTGACGATTTACTCGCAGAAAGAAGACAAATGTCAAGTTTGAAGATAAATGTCAAGTTTGAGGATAAATAGAAGATTTCCGCGGGAAAAAAGCAAAGATAAAGATAAATGGAAGATTCTCGATAAACTCGAATCTGGGCGAAATAGAAGGACCAAACCGCCAAGGAAGGGAGTATATAAGCAAGAGGCATAGGACAGAAGCAGGGGACAAATTTCAGAGCTCTCATCTGAGACTTTTACAACTTTTCTAGACTTAAAATTTTCCGCACTTAGAAACTTAGGCTTTATTCTTGACAAGTTCGGTTTCTATGACTGGCGCTCAATTGCTAGATCGAACTCGCCCAGGCAGTTCAATCTCTTGTCCAGATCTACCAATTGAACTACGTTCAACTTGATCCTCGAGAGGGGTACGTAAGCAGCCTTTCATAAGGTTCAGTTCGAAATCAATCAAACTCTCTTTTTCTTATTTTTTTCGTCTTTTGTTATCGATCTGCGACTCGACTAGGTTTAGGATTCTATGTTGATAACTCGCTGACGGCCCATGCGGCCAAAGCCTTTGTAATCTCTTGTAAAGATCGCAACTCTCTTACGTGAATTTGAAATAAGATCAACTTTTTTTATAAGTTCGTTTTATCATGTTTTTCATATTTTCCGCATTTATTTGGTTACTTGTCGTTAGCTTCCACATTTATTTGGTTACTTGTCGTTGGCTTCCGCATAGATCCGGGTCCTCTGGAAAATTAGGATTTTTCTAAGTTTTCTTATTTTATGGAAATCGACGGTGTAAATTTCGGTTTTCACATTTTAGTATATTTGAAAAGGGCATAATGATAAAGTATTAAATAATGTGGACAAAAATTTTCGGGATTCTTTATAGTTACCAGAAACAAAGGCAATACTTTGAAATGAAGCACATCTGCCACTGTTGCAGCCGGACATTCAGTTAACAACCAATATAGATGACACTACACCAGCACTACCACTAAGGTTAGGAAGTCGGTGTTTTACAGATGGGTCTTGGAAGGATAACAAGTTATTGTACATGTAAGGTTGGTTTAGTACGCTAGCAAATTTTGAGAGATTAATGGGGACGGGGCGAGCAATACAACAGCCCGTTTATCATCCTTTCATATGGAATTTGAGGCCCTCGTTTGGACTATGAAATGTGTGAAAACTCTCTTTCAAGTGACTTTAAAACAATTGTTCTTAATTGGTAAATATTGTTTTATTACTTGGAAAAATACAACTGATAAAGGAAAGTTTCAGCTTCTTCGCGATTGCACGTATCCAGCTCAAAACATATGCACATGCAGTCTTGTCTTACACAAGGTGATCGAAGTCAACCAGTCTACTTTATCCACATGGACACAAAGTCTCTAGTTTGGTTACCAGGATCTTGAAAATCTGTTTTTATTAATGACAATAAAAATACATATATTTGTCAATCATACACATGTACAATTTATATTGAGTCATCTGTTTAGAAACATATGTATTTTAGAAGAAAAACAATTGTTTCAAAAAAACACTTTAATTTGTTTTTCTTTTTGCATTTTTTATGCATTTTTCAGTAAACTTTAAAAAAAAAATAATTGTATTTACTGAATTTTTATTGGTTAAAATTAAAAAAAAAAATAATAAGAAAATATATATTATAATCAAAATTTACCATGTTTTATAATAATGTGTGAAACTCCAAAACATATAATTCTAGTGAATCAGTTTGCCATGTGTCCAAAAATTTATCAATAATAAGCTCACATGCTTAACAACATTTGTTATCTTGAATAGCTTAATCATTATCTTTGATGGGTCTTCATTCAGTGATGCTCATGACTGAAATGATCTATAGCATCGCATCATCACCTATTTCTTTGAACATCAAAATATCTCCAGATGCCTCTTCTGGTCTGCCTCAAGATTATTACCTTCCCATATATTTTCACACAAGAATATCCTCCAAAATTATCATAAAGTTCCTTTCGGACATTTTAAACGACGAATTTAAAGAGACACCGTGCTACATAACATTACACAAACATACAAAATAAAGGGCATTGCAATCGAGAAAAAAAAAAAAAACAAATCCATCTTGGTTCGGTAAGAAAAGAAAGAGAGCTATTTGAACAAATAAATGTTAGAAACCAAATCTTGGTCCTCTCTCCACCATTGGTGTATCCCATGAGCTTCCTTGTAGTCTTCAGAAGCAGTCCGGTTTACTATCAGCTTAGCAGAAGGGATCACGTGAACCGGCTCTTGCACGTCCACAGCGTTACTCACTCCCATGGCATCCATCAGCAAACCTCCCAAGGAATGCTGCATCGCCATCCGCTCAACGATTCCAGCTCCATACCCAAGCTGTTCCATGTTGCCTCTGTGCTCGAAAAACCCAATGTACTCAGAACATAAATGGTCCCCTGGATTCACATGAACTTCAGGTAGCCACAAAGACAAAGCCTTCAACGGATCTTCAGACAAGTTCCGTTCTTGAAGTTGCTGCTGAAGCTGAGGCTGCTGTGCTTGCTTTAGGGTTCTCGAGAAAGCGAGTCCTGCTGTAACAAGGCTGCCGGCGATCCTAAGCCCGCTTCTAACACGTTCGTTAGATATCCTCTCGATAGGAGGAGACACAAAGGGAGGGTTGAACAAGAAAGACTTGACGTAAACTCCAGTCTTTGCCAAAGTTTTGCCAGCGAGAAGAGCCATCGCTGCACCCATAGAATGTCCCGTTAGCCAGAGGTTTGAAGCTCCAACAGAAGTAGCCATGGATCTCACAGCTTGCATAGCGATCTCGAAACGTGATGTACGGTGAAGGCCGTTACGGATGATGTGGATGTCTAACTCGAGGTCACGAGATATGGAGTCAGGTTTAGTCAACGTCCCTCTAAAGGCTATGACATAACGGGGAGCTTTAGAGTCGACGGCGGTGTCTTGTTGTGGAGGTTTGAGTTCGTAAATGGCGCCGAAGATGGAGAAATCAGCGTCGTCGATAAGGCGACGGATGAGTTTGAAGTGGAAGAAGTCCCACCATGGAGATGCAAGAGCTTGAGAGCCTTCACGTTGAAGCTGACGGTCACGCTCTACTATGTAGATCCCTTGAACCAAACAAGCTGCTACACAACGTTGGTGATTTTCGTTTGCCCTGGAAAAAACAGATATCAACGAGAAGCTCATAAAGATTAGTGTATATGAGAATGAGATTCATACCAATCAAGATTAGTGAGGTGTGAGGGTCCACAGAGGGTAAAGTCTTCTCTATCAGAGGCCATTGATCAAATCCCAATCTTCTTCCTCTCTTTTTTTTTTGCTAGATAGTTCCCAAAATTCAAAGACAATAGCAAACGAGAGGGCAGCCAAAATAATTGAGATCCTCAGATCAATCGGGACAGAGAAAGAACATTCGACATCAAAAACTCAAAAAAGCATTAGATCATCTAAGGGAATGAAACTTACTGTTAAGCCCCTCGCCTTGATTGAAGATTGACACCAAAATTCACCACGGAAAAGGTTGCAGAGGGAATCGGGATTGAAGGAATCAACAACAGATTCGAATCCGAAAGCAAAGAGGAGTTTGAAAGCAAAGAATCTGTTGTTTAAAGAGAACTCGAGGATGGTTAAGTAATACTACACCGTTTTATATAAGATTGAATGATCACACGTGCAATCACATGGGCGTTTTTTTTTTTTTCTTTTTTCTATTGGTCTTTCCTCTCACACGAGACATTTTACCGAACAAGTAGAGAGTTTAGCGAAGATAACGCCAGTTCTTCATCTCTTTTTATTCGATCTAAAGATTCTAAGAAGAAAAAATACTATGTCTTTCCTTCACAAGCAGCTTTTAGCTTCCTTTCTTATGCGAACCAGTAAGATCCATTTCAATACGCCTTACTTCTTCCTTCAGCTCCGCTATAGAAATAGGACTTGCCTCTGAGTTACCCCTCGTCTCTTTGTTGGCTAATAAAACTGAGAGATGCTTAAGACACGAAACGTATTCAGACTTTACTTCCGGAGAATCTCGTAGCTGACTTCCACAACCAAACTACATACAACAAAAGGAAAGAGGAATTTATAAACAACAACAAAAAACAAAAATCAGTGTCCCAACATTTTCTTTGCACGCTGAATCAAATCACTTTTTGGTTAAAATGCAAATGAGCTCTAGGTTTAAGGTTTCACCTCTTTGTAAGCTGAAAGACATTGGACAAGTGCATCTTCTGCTGCATGTGGGTCTCTTTCCTGCAATATCATACCAACAGGTTTACACAGGATTGTTGTTTAAAAAAGTAAAGCATCAATATGAAGTGATAGTCTTGAACTTGGCTTCGGTTTGAGAAGCACATATCAGATGTTGAACTAGTCTTTGTCATCAATAAGCTGAAGTTTATATCTGAATCTATACTAATTTCCAATTGACAGCTCTGAAATTATGTATATTACAGTACTAACCTTTGCCTCCGGGATCTCGTTTTTGCTCGTCTCCAAAACTGCAAGACTCTCAAGAGACCGTAGCTGCAAAGAAATAGTAAAGGTCCCCCAACACATTGTTTGTAGGAAATAGAACACAATTAATTGTACCAAGACTTACCAATATGACTAAAGCTGCGTGTTCATAATTCCTTAAAGTCTCACTGGGTTTTCCTTGTTTCTGCTCTTTGCTCTTTTGGTTTTTCAGCTTAAGCACAACATCTTTTGCTATCCTGGTTTCCACCACAAAATTTGTTCTCTCGTTACATTCTTCTTGAGAAGATAAAAGAAGCTGAAACTAGAGAGCTAGTAGGCAAAGATAAATATATGCCAACCTAGATGAGTCTCCAAGATAATCCTTTGCTTTTTCTAGTTTAGCTAGGGCTTCACTGTTATCAGTTCCTCTCAACTGACTAGCCTGAAGCATAAATGTCTTTGCAATGTGAAGCAAATTTCCACCTATCTGGATATGTCCTTCTGGAAGTAACTTCTTTTGGGTATTGAGACACCTGACATGATTTTTTTTTCATAAAGCTTTAGTTCTATACATTTATGGATCCTCATAGTACTTCCATACACCGATCAAGAGTTTATCATGTGTTTACTTTTCAAAAATTTCTAGAGCTTCACTCAGCTGCCCAGATAATTGTAGAGTAACCGCTAATGCTTCAGCTGCAATTACTGCCTCCATTGAGTTCCATCCCTGTGATAGAATTCATTCATCAATAACTTTAAACTAGAATTATAAGAGCACCACAACTAAGCTCATCAACGCAAAGTTTGCAGTGCATAAGCATTACTAAGTTCAAACTTAACCAAAATACTATATTCCGCATTCTATCAAGCATATATCAGGAAGTTGGGACTTTTTTCTTTGATCCTAGATTAGAAAATGGAGTTTGCAAGGAAAAGAAGAATATACTATAAAACAGAAAGAAAGTAATATGTTGAATAAGCTAAAGGGAAGCACACCTTTGATAATTCCATCATGTGCAATAGTTTCCTCTGTATGTTTTCAGCCTCAGCCAGACGATTGGATCGTGTATATATCTGGAGCACAAAACGGAAACGAAATATAAACAAATTCAGAATCATGATGGATTAATCGCAATATGCTGTGTTCAAATCGATGCATAGTTAAAAGAAAATGGAAAGGAACATCCATATAAGATGCAACGTTTAAAGCGTCCAAAACCTGAGAAAGGTATCTGAGTCTCCTAATATATGTCATGGACTCTCCTTGACCATTATCCTACATCACAAAACCAAAATACAATAAATACAACTGACAAAATGAAACATCAAGATAGCACACTTTCGGTTTATCATTAAAATATTGACATGCCTCAAGTATTTTAAGAGAATCCAGGATAAGAGCCTCCGCATCTGTGTCTTTTCCTTGCAGATGTAATACCTGTCGCATATCAAATTATACGTTGAAAAGGAAGTATAAAATGAAAGATAGATGACAATAAACTCAAAAAAGAAAAATCTGAATTGAGCAAATACATATCAACCCTTTATACAGAACAATATTTTGGTTTATTGTATTCATGGTTATACATATCAACCCTTTATACAGAACAATACATATCAACCCTTTATACATAACAATAAATACAACTGACAAAATGGATCAATATGCTAAGAAACACAAAACAAACAAAAATCATACCGTTCATCACAAGTATAAAATCTTTAAAGCAACAAAACATATAAAACACGAGAGTACCGTTCCAAGATGATACATTGTCTCTGCATAATCCGGATGATTATGTCCCAGGACTCGTCTTTTCATCTAGATTATAATCAGAGGAAATAAGAAGAAGCAAAATAAATAGTAGAAAATGATAAGTGTTAATCATAAAATAGTAAAGATTAATCTGGGCATACTTACCTTTAAAGCACGCTGCACATGAAGCGGTCAACAAGAGAATTAAAATAAGTAGTTAGCATCACAAAATATAAAGCTTATCATTTGAAGTGTTGGTGGCAGTATATCAAGAGTGAATTTGATAATATAACGGTAATCAACCTCGTAGCACGCACGAGCTTCCTCAAGTTTTCGCTGGACAAGATAAAGTTGTCCAAGGTTGTGTAGAGTAGCACCAACACTGCATTGTTTAGAATAAATAGCATGTAACGAAATTCTAGATGGAACTCTATTGGTTTTTGTCCTGTGACTTCAAATACCAAGAAATAATGGACATAATATGTCATGCCATGTGTATGCATGGAGGGCAGCAGTGAGCGAGCCAACAGGGGCATAGAGTGATAGAACTGAAAAGTGCCAACAACTCAGCCAGTGTCTAGAAATGTGATAGGTTCTCAGCTAAATTATGAGTGTGATTTTATGTACAGAAACCTCAAAAGAATGGCAATCAGTAAAACTGTCAGCTTATAAGATAAAAGAATTCTCACCGGACATCTTCAGGACCATAGTACTCCTCCAGTATGCTTACAGCTTCCAGGTATAAGGGCTCTGCTTTGTGGAATTCTTTCTTAACTCTGTATAACTCTGCCTTACGTAGAGGGAGAAAACGAGAAAGCAATTAGTCTAATAAGTAACAAGCACTATTATCTTAAGATAGAAACTATAAAATTTGAGTAGAGACCAACCAGATTGTTGCATGCAGATGCAACATGTGGATCCTTCTCTCCAAAACCTTCCTTGGCTTCCTGTATTGCAGAACCGAAAAGCCTCTCTGCTGGCTCCAGCTTCCCCTAATTAGATAGAGAAATAGATTATTCAGAGGCACAGGAAAAAAAACAAAACAGTTTTGAGTTACATTCTTCAAACAACCTGAAAGAAATGTTCTCTTCCACTGTCAGTAAACACCCTCCACTTAGATGTGTGTATATTCGACACAACTGACCCGTCCTCAATCCTCTCTAGCCCATTATTGCCACTCTCATCCATTTTATCTCCAGGTTTTGACTTAATAGGATCATCCTCAGCCAACACAATTGCTGGAAAAAACAAGAGTGAGGTATCAAAAATCATCACACTACAAAAATAAATATAACAAAACGCACCAGCTTGTCCAGAAAAGATAATCCAAAGCCGAGGATCCAAGAGATGCAAATTCCTTGTATAGCCTCCAGAATCATTATGATATGAAATCTTTGGTTTCCCTGCAATCAAACAGACTCCTCTTAAGTCCAATATTCACAAGATTTTGACAAAACTCTTTTTAAGATAAAAAAAAATAAATAGCCCCCAACAAGAAAGTCCAAAGCTTTTGTATTGGAAATTCAGAATATAAAGTACATTCCTACTCGGAATCTAAAAGGGTAACCCAAACTTGGAGATCACATTCAATCAAAGTGTTACCATTTCTTCAAATAGTAAAATACAAACAGAGAAAAAGACAAAAAAAAAAAAAAAAAAAACAAGTTTCCAGTACACTGTTCTATAATTGTGAAGTGAGCAAAAAGCATTGGTCAAGTCCCAACTTTGCTGGAAAAAAATCCTAACGGAGTGTGACAAGCACAAGAGAGAAGGAAAGTTTTTCAGGATAGCCATGACTGATAGATCTAAGAACAGAGTCGAATGCTGAAGTTACCGAAGAGTGAATTAGAAAAAGTGGTGGAGATCGGAGCCCGCGAAGAAGAAAAGGAATGAGTCCGTCTGAGGAGAGCCGACATAATTCGAGTCATAGACATGTTTGGAGGAGTTTCGTGAATTGCGCTCCAGGTGTTCGACGATATTACTTAAACAGCTGCAAATGAATCAATTTAATTTGGTTGGCTTAGAGCATCTACAAAAAGACTCTCTATTTTAAAGTTTCCAAAACTCTATATT